TTTTATCGTCAATAATATTAACAATAATAATAATAATAAAAACAAAATACTAGTTTGAATTTTGAATTTTGAAATTTTTAATCTATGAATTTTAATCTACGAAAACACACGTAGCATCAATTATTATATATATATATATATATATATTTATTTATTTATTTATTAATATACAATCTATAATAAGATCATACAATTCTTTTCGCAAATACTTCATTCAATTTTTTGCATGTACAATGTAATTTGAAAAACTTAAAGTTTGATAAGATTTGGAACGTGAAAGGAAAACAAAGCGAAACGAAACGAAGAAAAATGAAAAAAAGAAAAAAAAAAAGGAAAAAAAAAAGAAAGAAAAAATAAAACGAAACGAAAACCCTCCGAAGAAATAAATAATAATAATAATAACAATAAAAAAAAAAAAAAAAAAAAAAGAAACAGAAAAAAGAAAGAAAGAAAGAAAAAATTATAGAATTATCGAAAGAGTATAAGGATAAAAATTCGGAAGGATAATATTTTTATTTTTCGATAATATTTCAGAGAGCAGAGCGGGTCCGTCGAATATTGGCAACGTTATCTCTCAGATCCTGTTATGCAAGCAGATCACGCCCGACTTCAACGAGGAGGAATTGTGCAGCATCAAAAAGGATTCCGAAGAGATAGGTGCACTGATCGCTGAGTTACAGGAATTCATGCCCCAATCCGAGGCTGATACAGGTATGCCAATCTCTACTACAGAGATTGTGTAGACTCTCGATCACTTAATAATACCATCATTGCAATCATAATCGGCTTGATTTTGTAGTAAGGATCAAATGATCGAATATGGGACACACGTTCCTTCCATTACCCTTTTTATCTCTCTCTCTCTCTCTCTCTCTCTATATATATATATATATATATATATACATATCTCTATTCTCTATCTATTTTTCTTTATTTATCGTTAAATAATTCTCAAACAATTAATAATGTAACGATGATTTTTTATATAAATAATTACGTCGAAGTTAATTGAATGATAAACCAATGTGGTTTTTTTCTTTTTTTTTTTTTTCAATAATAAAAATATTATTATAAATAAATTATAATGAATTAATGTCTAATCAATAATTATGTTCAAAATTATTAATTAATAAAATAAAGAAATTAAATGATCTCTGTCTCTCTCTCTTTTTTTTTTTATGTATCTTCTTACTCCTTTCTTTTCGTAAATTTCTTCCATCCTGCGTATAAATATTAAACATTTATAGCTTATTTTTTTTTGTTTATCTTTCTCTCTTTCTTAATTTATCGTTCTCATTGTTGTTGTTGTTGTTTTGTTTTTTTTTCTTTTTTTTTCTTTTTTTTTTTTTCTTTTTGCAGAAAAATGTGTGGCCCTACAGGAAGCCGGAAATCGCGTAACTCGTAATAATGGCGGACGAAAAGTGAATCGATGGAATACTAGCAACAGATCGCGACAATCCTCCTACTGTCGCTGTGGTTTCAAGTTTCTCTGTTGTACCGCCAGAACGAATTACATTTGAGATTTGCAGAATGGGTTGTAGCAGTGAAGGGCTTCCACCTGAAGAACTATCAAAGAAGAAGAAAAAAGTAGTAGAAGCAATCAACAACTCTCGTTCAATTTAATTTCATTTCTTTTTCATTTTCTTTTCTTTCTTTTTTTTTTTCTTTTTCTTTCCTTTTCTTTCTTTTCTCATATTCTTTCATATCCTTTCATATCCTTCATTCACTCTTCGCGAGTGCATTTCTCGCTTCATATTTTTTATATGTTTATTTATTTCAAAAATTAAATCGAAAAATCTTTTACAAATTCATGTTTTACGTTTCTTTATTTTTGATTTGCATAACAAAACTTTGTATCATCAAAATAATTCTACATCTCTATCGTATATCTTTCTAATATTTCAATGAATTTATTATCTTTTTCTTTTATTTCCTCTTCTTCTTAACTATATGTATTTTTAACTAATATATAAGAACAGTCGATCGTTTAATTATTAATGAATATTTAATAATGTACATTATATGTAAGTACATATATATTTGAAAATTCGCGCGATCGCCATCTTGATTTATATTATCAAGCGACCGACCAATGAGAAACGATTTCGATCTAATTCTTAAAATATAGAAAGTATGCCGCACTGAATTTCCCTGATTTAGATCTATATCGATATTTATTTTTCGAATCTTTCAATGAATTTATTATATTTCTATTAATATCTTTCTAATTTATATATGAAAACAGTTAATGGATTTTAAATAATGTATGCTATATATAAGTACGTGTTTGAAAATTCGCGCGATTATCATCTTGATTTTGTATTATCGAACGACCGACCAATGAGAAACGATCTCGATTTAACCCCTAAATTAAATGAAAATATGTCGCACACGACGCGTTTCCTGAATTATTCGATACGTTAATAAGTTAATAAGTTGATGATTTAGAAAACGAGAGTATGGCCTTTGATAAAGAAAAATAGAGAAAAAAAAAAGAAAAGGATAAAAGAAAGGAAAAAAGCGAGGATCTCCCATTAAAAATAATCTCTGGATTTAAGTGTGTCTAAAGAGAAGAAACAAATGATAAAACAAAGAAATGAAAGAATATAAAGAAGAGGTGTTAATGGTTAATCGTTGAAATTGTCAAGTGAAAAAAAAAGAAAAAAACAGTATCTCTTAATTTATGCGAGTATAATAATAATAATAATAATAATAGACAATTATTATCGATCGATACATTATAACAAACGCGTTATATCTATATACGATATAATTATTATTGCAAATATTTCATGGTGGCGTGGCGGGCAGAGGGGGGACGGAGAAAACAAAGGAAAGTTTTACGCGAATACAATGGAGAAAAAGAAAGGTAAAAAGAAATATATCGATCATGGCGTATCACGTTTTAAAGAAAAAAGAAATAGAAAAAGAAGAAAAACAAAAAACGAAAGAAAGAAGATCGGAATAATAACGACGAAGGAAAAATAATTCCAGAGAGAAGAATATACAAAAAAAAAAGAAGAAATAAAAATCCCCCTTCCCCCTAAAAAAAAAAAAGAATTACAAGTAAGTGGACCAATCGTCGATTTATTTATTCCGATATATATATATATATATATAAATATATATATATATATGTATATATATGGTTATACATACAACTTAATAGTAATACAAAGGGAGATAAAAAGAAATCAAAAATGACGTATATATATATACATACATATAAGTACTACTTAACCACAGGTTAGTAGAGAAAAAAAATGGCCGTATCACGTGATCCTCGTATCGATATTTTAATATCGAACGAGTTTCTCGATCTCGTTTAATCGTAACTGTACTCCGAGATATATAGTGATATATTTATTATTTAAAAAAAAAAGGAATAAATAAATAAATAAATAAATAAATAAATAAATAAATACATAATATATATTTATCGTATGATGAAAGAACACGTATAAAAGAATTAAAGAGAGAGAGAGAGAGAGAGAAGAAAAGAAAGTAGATATAAGAAAAAAAAAAAAAGAGAAAAAAAGAAAAAAGAAAAAAAAAATTCCTTTCCATTTTCTTCTTCCATTTTTTCATTTCTTTCCTTTTTTCTCTCACCTCTATTCACGTGAGTGTATTTTATTCAGTCAATTTTTTCTTGTTAACTTAAAGAAACTTCGAATGTTATATAATTGCATATTACGATTACGAATCGATCGTATTTAATCGGATTAACTCTTGAACGCAAATAAAAATAATTGTAATCCTCATATAAATTGTACCTGATGATGCATCACCACGATAATCACTGAAGTGACAATTTTCTCAATCTGTATATCTATATATGCATACATATATACATACATACATACATACATACATACATATATATATATATTTCCATTTCGTTACGTACACACAAATGAATACATATATATACATACATACATACAGACGTAAATGCATACATAGATGCCTGTAATTAATGTTGGATTATATAATAGACATTCAGTGTACAGTGCTTCGAAAAAAGAAATATATATATATAAAAAAAAAAAGAAACAAAAAAAAAAAAAAAGAAACAAAAAAAATGTTAATGAACTTCACTTTTTCGTTAGACGTCGTTTACTCGAATGTGTATTTGTTAATGATAAAGAAAGGACTTAAAGAAAAAAAAAAAAAAAGAAAAAAGAAAAAAAAGGAAGAAAAAATAAGAAAAAGAAAAAAGAAGAAAAAGTGGAATAAATAGGAACGCGTACGTGATATAGGATTAACTACACATATCAAATTAACAATGAATGAATTGTAATATTTGAAAAGTTTGATCTCTTTATTTCTCTAATCTACGATGTAATTAATCTATAAATTCACGTATTAAAATATAGTTATATTATATATAAATATATATATATATATTATGTCTCTTAATGATCGGCCGTATTACCGATTGATACGGTGTAAAGATAATTATATAGTAGATTAACTGCCGACAGGAGAATAAATATAAAATGATCGAATATTGTACAGTACCGTTATGAATTTAATATTATATTACTGCACAATAATGGAAAGAGAAAAATTTTAATGAAAAAAAAAAAAAAAAAAATTGATCAGTTTTAAAGAACTATCATTTGAATGATATTATATATATATATATATATGTTCTATGACATACGAAAGAGTAATCAAATAAAATTGTACGAAGTGTAACATACGTTGTGGAATAATAAAATCGATTTGTCAGAAAAATAAAAAAGTGAGAGATCCATTAAATGTTTGTTATTAAAAATATATAAAAATTAAACGAGTACACGCGTGTGTGTGTGTGTGTGTGTTAAGAAAAAAAAACCACTGATTTACAGTAGCAACGTGTTCAAATATAATTAATCTTTGATCGATTTTTATTAACAAGATTTCATTTTGAAAATGAAGATTCAAACAAGAAGATAATCCTTATCGAACATTTGATAAAATTTCATTATCTTTGAAAAAACAAAAAAAAAATCCAATCAAAAAATGATTTCTTTTCAATCTGATTCCTTTGAAAAGAATTCTCTCTTCAATCGTTTGTTAATTTCAGAGATATGATATTTTTTTCAATTATATACGAACGTATAATCGACGAGGTCTAAAGTGAATTAATATTTAAACGATAAATACATTCGCTTAAACGATACAAAAACTCGTAACAACGTGAGAAAAACTTAAAATAATCCTAATGTATAAAATTTCAATAATTAAAAATTTTTATCTCAAATTTTATTGATCCAATGAGATATAAATATGAACGATCTTTATCATTAACTTTAACGATTTTCGAGTTAATTTTTTTTTTTTTGGTACTCAATGCACTCACTTTTTCTAAACGCGTTAAATTTATTAATTAATTTATTATTAATTAATTTATATAATTAATAATTAATTTAACTTACGATAATTTTATTTAATCCTATATTTAATTCATTCCTATTTATTCTTATTTACTCTTTATTAGATTAGATTAATTAGTGATATTAAAAATCCTAGCGTGGATTTAATTTTATTTGTTGAAAAATTCAATTAGATTATTTAACAAATGTGAATATTAAAATAAAGAGTCAACGTTAAACCCATGGGTCTCCAGATGCAGCAACCTCCACGTGGTGAGACCTGGATCGTTAATACTTGCGATGTATTGTAATTTTATGATAAATCATGCAACGCAAGTATTATCGTGCGAATGGCTGCATATTTCAATTCTTTTTCAAATATCTTTCAAATATGAAAAGATGTTAAACTTTATACTGATAATTATAAGTATGAATTTAATAGAATTCTTATCAATTTAGTATTATCACAAATGATTTTTCAAAAATTTTCATTTCTCATATAAACGCGATATAGGATAATTCGTATATATATATATATATATATATATATATATATATATATATATATATATATATATATATATATATAAAGTAATATATATGATTTTATTTAATTATTAATAAAAAAAAAAAAAAAAAAAAAAATTAATCTCTTACTCGATGATTTATATTTAAAATGAGGTTCTTTAATAAACTTCATGCTGATATAAAATCTTTATTACAAAAAATAAATTAATTCACTCTACATATACAAAAATATATAACTAATTAATATTAATAATACTCTCTTTCTTTCTCTTTTACGATGATCTTATAAATAGATTATTATTAAGAATTGATGAAGAAGAAAAAAAAAAAAAGAAAAAAAAAATAATATGATAGTATTCGATACTATCATATTATAGATATTACATACGTGTGAGTGCGCACACATTTAATGTTATCGCATCATATTATTAATGTATTTAATTTAAGGCATATTTATTTGAATAAATAAAAATGCTTTAAATGTTACAAAAATTGTGTGTAACAATAAGACACTAGAGTACATTGTCATTATATGAACGTATTATGACGATAAATCACTCGTTGGATGAAATTCATTTTGAGAAAGCATTCTTTTCTTTTTATTTCTTTTTTTTTTTTGTTTTTTTGTTTTTTTGTTTTTGCTTTTGTTTTAACCCAAATTGTTCTACTTGGAAAATTTCAAGTGTGTACACACATTAATAATTAAAAGTGCAAAAAATGAATTTGAAAATTTTCTCATACGAGTTATATCATTTTATATCATATATAATTATAAATCATCTTATATCATGGCGCATAACACACACATATATATATATATATATATATATAGTATATATATATATATATATGGCGCATAATATATATATATATATATAATTCAATTTGATTGCAGTTAAACAAAGATTATAATTTATCTCTCTAATTTTCAATGTATTATTAATATAAGAATCGTTTTGTCTTGCTTGCACATTAAATTTAAAAGATCAGTATGAGAAAACTATGTATCAGTAAGATAACTTTATATAACGTAAATGATACTTTGTACAAACTTTAAAAAGATGCGCTAATATAATTTCTTTTTGAGCATTTATACATAAAATTCTAATTGAGATTGTTAATACTCGATAACCCTGCCTTTGTACAGGGAAGTATTAATATTAGACTACAATTGCATTTTTAATATATATATATATACTTTATAGTAATTTTAATATTTTTTTTTTTCTTTTTTTCCCTTAAAGTCTAATAAGACTCTTTGTACCTACTTATTAAAAAAAGAAAGATCCAATAAAGATCCAGTCTTGGAATAAAATATTATGTCAGAACGCTTTGCGAAAACACTTTATCTATTTTCCTATTTTTTATATTGGATCTATATCTTTTTCTCTTTCTCTCCCTCTCTTTCTTTCTTTCTTTCTTTCTTTCTTTCTTTCTTTCTTTCTTTCTCTCTCTCTCTCTCTCTCTTTCTCTCTACTTATATATATATATAATTAGATTATTATAAAATCATGGCATAAAAAACAATAATAAAAGTAAGGCTTTTTCCTCTTTATAGATATGTTTTTCTTGTTTTAATTAATATATAAATTTTTAGTAATATATAATTAGT